ATAAGCTATTTATTAAATGAAATTGCAGTATGAACTTGTAAGTGAGTAACTCAATTTTTTAAGATCTTTTTCAGATTCGAAGAAGGCTTTCCTGTGTTCTACATCATACTGGATTCTTGAAACATATGAAGAAATTTACATGTGTTCAAAAATTAAAAAAACGAATGCGTTAGATATTTTTAAAAGAAGCATTCATGGATACCGGCCTCCCACCTCACCAGGTGGGTTAGAGGTTGTAGTGGTAGCCTTCATCTTTGAAAAGGTACCCCATCATAGAGTCGAGTTAACATGTCTGGCTGTTACATGTTCATATACTAATGCATTTGAATTATATTTTTGTAAAAGTACACTACAAGGTAAACTTCAAAATCAAACCTTCAGTCTTCATTGCAGATTCGTATTTTTCAAAACAGAAGCACGTTCTAACCTTTTTAGTTCACAGATGGCATTGATATCGCAAACTCGACATAGGAGAAAAATGAATGAAACTGAAGATATCCCGAAAATGCATAACAGATAGAAGAAATAAAGATAGACATGTTTGATATTCTGATAAAACCTATATAATGGCATTAAACTCATCCTCATCTTACAACGTGAATGATTGGAGACATTCGATGATTGGAATTGAAGTTAAGTGTCATTGACTGCATCTTTTGAAAATATTACGTGCATATTCTTAAAATTCTGAAGTTATGCATAGTTCTCGAAAATTTCGATCATTTCTGTATTTCTAGGAAATTCCTTAGAAGTTAAAAAATTAATAGTATTTATTTTCGCTTCACAAAAAAACAATAGTATCATCCTTTGTAGGACCAAAAATTAAGCATTTTTTTATGTTCGTTTCTTAACGTTTCGTAAAATTTGTGTTCTTCTTATTTTCCAAGTTTAAATCAAAATCCCAAAGTTATGGAAGTGAACCAAGGCAGCCATTCAGTGTTTTTGCGAGACTTGTATTCCTCTTGTTTTCCAAGTTTAAATCAAAATTAAAAATCTATAGAAGTGAGCTAAGACCAACAACCACTGTTTTTGTGAGACTTGTGTTCCTTTTACCTTCCAAGTTTAAATCAAAATTACAAATCTATAAGAGTGAGCTAAGACCGATAACCAGTGTTTTTATGAGACTTGTGTTCCATTTGTCTTCTAAGTTGAAATCAAACTTAAAAAGCTATGGAAGGGAGATAAAACAGTCAATCAATGTTTCTGTTATACTTGTGTTCTTCTTTTTTCAGTTAAATTCAAAATTGCTAAGCCAGCTATGGAAGGAAACTAAGAATTGTTCAATATTTTTGTTAGATTTGTATTCCTCTTGTCTTTCAAGTTAATTTCAAAATCACAAAGAGCTCAGGCAGCTCGTAAATGAGCTCAGACAGACAGTCAATGAGCTCAGACAGACAGTCAATGTTTTAGTTTTACAATAGATTGGCGTTCCGCTTCCCTTTTAAGTTAAACTTAAACTTAAAAAGTAACGGAAATGAGCTATGAAAGCCATCTGCTGAGAAATAACCTATAAATGGATGAATGCAATTGGTTCAAATCTTATAACGTGGCTGAAAATTCTTTTGTCTAGTTATAAAGATGAAAGAATATATTAATGCTTACATCTAAGAACTTACTTAGTCGAAAACACACGTAAGGGTTATTTAATAATAACTGAATTTCGAAAGTTTGAGTCTGAATGTATAGAATAAATTGTTATTCTGCTCAAATAATTTTTTTTTTTAAGGCGAGAGAAAAAAAAATCAGCTTGTGTTTAGAAGTGGTAACTTTGACTTGACCATTTTTAGTTTCGCCAGTCATTATAATGCAAAGGAGTAACATATTAAGTTATATTAATTATTATTAAGCTTTAAAATATAAGTAGGTAGTTATTATTTTTTTCATCCCATTTTTCGCTCTCAATGAGTGAAATAAAATTTCATATTAAAATGTTTTAAGTTAATGATGCCTAGTTATTATATAGTTGCCTAAATTTATTTCATGAACGAAAAATAATAATATTTTATTTATGAAAGGGGCGAAAAAAATTATTACGGTCCAGAGAACTTGAGTTTTCGAAATTTCCTTATTCTTAATCACACCAATAAACACGATAAGCTTTTTTTCTTTTTTAAAAACACAAAAACAATCATAAATCTCGAAATTCATGTCTCCATAATTGGTATTTGAATTTAATTTTTTGAAATTGTATCATTTTCTGTTATTTAATGAACCATGCATGCCTTATAAATAAAAACTAAATCCAGTGACTGATCAGCATCACTGAACGAAACCAAAATTTTCATGTTGTGATACATCACCCGAAAACATTCTAACCATCATCACATTTCTAAAAATATCAACATGTTTTCCACTTAACATTGGTCATTAATTTCGTTAACCAAATGAAATTTATCAATAATTCCAATATTGTATTTGAGCATAATTTCTCGATGATAATGTTTCTTACAGTTTACCTTGGCCAATAATGATCGCTGTGCTATCGTAATCGATAGTTATTGTTGTCGAAAATGATCAACTCATCGGGGAGTTTTCAAATCTGTACACAGCTCGAAATGTTTACCAAAATTGATATTACAAGATATGCGTGTCTACGAAAAGTGAGACAGCTCAAAATGCATGTCTAAGAAAGTGGACACGGCTCGAAATGTGTGTTTACGATAATGGACACAGCTCAAAATACATGTTCACGAAAATAGACAAAGCTCGAAATGCATGTTTTCGAAAATTGTCGCAGCCCAAAATGCTCGCTTGCAAAAATGGTCACATTTCGAAATGAGTTTCTACGAAAATCGAAATTGTAAAATATGCGTGTTTACAAAAATGGAAAAAGCTGGAAATGTTTTTTTTTAAATGGTCGCAGCTCGAAATGCGTGTTGACAAAAAACAACACAGCAAAATACGCGTTTTTACAAAAATGTACGTAGCTCAAAGTGTGCTTACGCAAAAGTAACAGCTGGAATTGCGTGTTTACGAAAATGGACAAAGTAAAAAATGAGCCTTTTCAGTGTTTAACTTAAATTTAACTACTAAACGAGGAATTACGTATTTACTTTTCCTTACTTATCTAGACACTAAGCATAATCATTATGAAGCAAAGTCACTTACTTCTGATTCGGGGTGGGTAGGTATATTACAGTTGTAACTTTTCAGACGATGTCATCCTATTCAGGATTCTAAACTATAAAGTAAGTTTTAAAACTCTAAATTTTTACAACTTAAATTTAGTAAAACTATTATAAATTTGTAGCACTGTAGCAACCTTGTAAAAACAACAATTTACTTTTGCAATTTTTTCAAAAACAGACTAATTTTTTAAAATATGCCAAAGGATTTAGGTGAATTACCATATTACATAATTACATGATGAATTTAGTTAGATTCATTAATTTGTTCTTAAAAAAAGAACAACATAAAAGAAGTTTGTAAAATGACATCAAAGTCTTTGCCGTTTTCTTAAATATGTCCATTTTCAAAGACATGCATGTAGAGCTGCGTCCATTTTCGTAAACTCACATTTCAAGCAGTTTTCAGATTTAAACACTCACCGACGATATATTCAATCCATACAGTAAAACATGGTATTCAATATATGTCGCAAAAACATTTTTCTTTGTAAAAAATGAATGCTTTTGAAGGAATTCAAAACAATTTTCTACACTTTTTTTTGTTAAAAAACAAACAGCATCATTATCAAAATGCTCTTGGTTATGTGATGTACAATATTTCTGATGTTCCATCACTTATTTTTATTTTTCTATAAAAAAGTAATTTGATTGATTGCTTTGATATTTTAAATGCAATTCTGTTCTCAGTTGATTTATTTAATTGCTTCGATGTATCAAATACGATCTAATAATAGATGCTATTCAGGTACGACTTACCAATTGTTTGTAAACTTCTCTTATTAAAAAAATTTAAAAAAATAATAAAAATTCCTTTATACAGACTCCGCACATTGAATTAGAAAAATTAGAATGTAAAACACTCATTCTTTAAAAAATCTACTCTCGTGCGAGAATTATCGAATTTAATAAATTATGAAAAAGAATTGTAAATTACTCTTAATTAATTTAAAAAATCAATCTGAGAAATGCAATAAAAAAAAAACTAAAGTAATCTAAGGTGGGGCTTTAAAAGTTTATAATGAGTATAAATAAATAATAATTAAAACTTCATAAATTTACTTTTTCAATATAAAAAAATTGTTGTTTTAATTTGCTATTGCAACTACATATGAAAATACAATAGAGTATTTTCAATCAGACATAATTTAAAAGAAATTTTGAGTGAAAAAGATACAAATATAGTGGCTCTTGTTTAAAACCAAAGGTTATCTTCGAGTCTTGGGTAACTCAAAACCTTACTGAACTTCGCCGGATTTCACAAAGTGATTGAGCTTTTTATCTGAACCTAACAAAAGTTAACATACTTAGGCAGATAATGCGTAAAACAGTTAACATACTTTCAAAGAATAAATCGAGCATGTAAAATGTATCATTAGTTTCTTTATTGACTTCTACAGCATTTGCACAACAAGAGGCAACGATTCCTTGAAGAGTGGGTGATTCGCGTTCGAGAATTTGACAAATGTATCCTTTTAATTGTTTTAAAAATTTATTCCCATGGCATTACGCATTCAGTAGAAGATCATTCTTCTAATTTATTGTAAAATCCGAACCAATAAAAACTATATCCTCTCTTTCAAAAACGACCTTCGTCTTCCAATGTCTGTTGCAACCTATTGTACAGGAAGCATTCTTTAAAGAAATAACGCCTCTTTAAACTGTTTATCTAATAAATATATCTCGGAAAAAATTCAAGTAGATGAAATTCTATACTTCCTATGTCAAGGCAACTAGAGGACAGTGCTTTGACTATAACGACAGGTAATGTCAAAGCTTTTCTTTGGAATAACTATAGCAGTTTTAAAACAAGGAGTCATTTCTACCGCCATTTGCAAGGCTGGGATTAGAGCGCATGCGCGACGTTGTCATGGAAACCATCCGCGACCGGCATGAAAGGCTTGTATAAATATGCCAACTGTGAAGCTGACCTGTTACTTGTCATCATTTCATCCCAGGTATCATCTTATCAAGGATAAAATTGCGGAGGGATAAAATATACTTCGGGAAAATTAATGTAACGTAAAATTTACAAAAATCAATTAAATTTTTTTAAATTTTGACTTTGTGAAGTGCCATGTGGAATATTAAGGTGAGTAAATAAAATTATTATATAGAAATTTTGAGAAAAAGTTTTTACCCTTAATTTCACTTTTATAGAATTTTTTTAACGCCTTCAAAAACGTCTAAGTTTAATAAATGTAACTATTTTTTCTAAACTGATTTCTGTTTATTTGCAAAACATTAAAATGTCTATTTATTAGAAATTAATCTCTTAATTATTTTTCAATTTTATTGGAATTTTTGGAGAAAAACGTTTAAGACATTTCATTATAAAATTAAATTAAATTAAGTAAGTTAATCTTTCACTATTGTAAAAGATTAAGTAGTGCACGCGAAAAACTTCCGAATATATTGTTTAAAAATGAAATATATTGTTTATAAATTGAACTGTTTTAAATTTAACATGGAGATAAATAAAAATATTTTTCTTCTTCTGATGAATTTTGATTTTATTTTGCTTGATTCAAACAAAAAAAGTTGTTTTGATATTTTTTACTCATCTGAGTTGTATTTCAAATTTTGTAATAATATAATTTAAAATTTATCATGCTTGAATTACATCAAATCATATTTTTTATCACATACAAATTTTTATGATAAAAACAAATTGTGATTATAATGTCAATGATTTGATTTGTTTAATTTGTAAAAAATTATTTAATATATTTAACTAACCTGAATTATATCACAATAAGTTGAATACCTTATTTAAATCTTATATTTCTATCTTGGTTCAATACTTTATATAAATATTATATTTGTAGATTAGTTGAATACAATAACCTAATGTTGTATATCTAGATTTTTTGAAAACAATATTCCAATATAATTTTTATTGGTCAAATACTATATTTCTAGCTTGCTTGAACTCAATATTTCAATATCATAGTTGTAGATTGGATGGATACAATATTCATAATTTGGTTAATTACAATATTTTAATATTATCTTTCTAGAATACATTATTTAGAGCTTGTTATGGATGCTGTTTTAATCACAGAAAACAATTTTATCTTATCTTTCTCTTATGAGAGTCTCAACAAAGATGAGAGTTTCGAATTTAATTTGATGAAACTTTCAAAATAATTAGTCTTCACTTTTTTTTAATCTATTGTAATGACAAACCAGAACTTTAAATAACATAATTTGAAATTTGCAAAATAATTTAGCAAAATTTCAATCATTTGTTTTTGAATGTTAATATTTTGTTATAGAAAATTGTTTTGTATGTGAAATTTAAAAAATATATATCATAAATAAACTGCAATATATAGTCAGTATCATTTGAAATGAAACTCATAAGAGCAATAGATTATCACTTTAACATACTATGATGGACACAATATTTGAAATAATGCCATTACAAATTATATTTGATATTGTTAATTTTATTTCAGATTTTTTATCGTATTATGGTACAATTTAGGTAAACTTGATATCATTGTTAATATGCGCATTAAAGAGTTATTTGAGAGTGAGAGATTAAAATAAATTAATAGTCATATTTAATTATTGAACATTAAGCGAGTTTTAACTAACTTTTTCATGAAACAAAAAGAATCATTATGATGCATCTTCAGTTTGAAAATATTAAGTTAAAAATCAGTTAAAAATCGAAATTTAATGACAAATATCACCCCAAGAAATTTTCCTTTCGTTCTGCTTTTGTAAAACCATTTCTATACACATCAATTAAAAGGGGGAAATATTAAGTGTAAAATAATTTTTAATTTTTTTTCTTAATTATTTCTAAAAATCATAAGTAATCTTATTAGAGATTGTCACATTTTATCCGATATTAAACAAATTTTATAATTTAGTAACCTTTTCAGAATTAATATTTTATTGTTGTTTCCTAGAATGACAGAAGCATTTTATTCATTTTCAATATCAGCCCCTGCATTTAACTATTGATACAAGGAAAAGCCATTTTTCACCATTTTTTTCATAACCATTTCCCTTTTCTTTTTATTTCACCTTAATTTTTGTTATTAAGAGGATGGAAGTTATAAATAACTCTTCCAAATTTGTTATAAAATTTAATTAATTAATGAAAGATATTTCAGAATTTTTAAGTATGAGGATTATTGTATATTGATTGAATTTTTTCATCGCTTTCGCAGATCTTTCTTAAAATTTGCCGAATAAAGAATTTTATATTTCAGAGCTACTCAAATAACTTTCATATTAGAATGGAATTAAATACAATATCGAAATGATTAAATGTTTTTCATAATATTTATTTAATGTATATGATATTTGATTTATAACTATAAAATGAATTAAAATGACATTTGTTTTATTATAATAATAATTTTAGATAGTAATTTTTGTGTAATGACAGATAAATTATTATAATATAATATAGCTCTAATGAAGAAAAGAAAGATAATTAGCATAAATTGTTTTTAAATATTATGAAAGTTATATACTCTATAAATTTTTTTCTCTTGTTTAATAAAAACACAATTATTTTTGCCGTTTTAGTTCACGTGAAAAGTTTTTTAAATAATTAGTGTTTAATTATATTCTTATTTTTAGTTAACTGCCAGTTAATCTGTCTATTGCACGGAGAAAATTTTTTGATAAAATTTACTGCACTTTTTGTTTATCACATTTCTAGTTAAAAAAAGACATAATTATGACAATGAAACCAAAATATAAGGTATTTTAACTATTTATTTGGTAATTGTTTCGCTTTTGTGGTAATTTTTTCGCTTTTATAAAACGTTTTGTTGGAAATTCTGGTTTTCTAAGTCATAGTTCTTATTACCACATATTTTGAAAACGAAACAAAACTCAAAAGTAAATTTAACCGAATAAATGGTTTCTGCGCCATGTTCTAAAGTATTATGATAAAAATGCCAAATTTTATGACATTTATCACATTTTATTACATATTATAAAATTATATGTTATTGTTAATTTTACCAAAATCATTACCAAAGCTCTTTGGTAAAAACTACTGAACTTTTTGGTATTCCCATAGAGCTAGAAACGCTATGAAATTAAAGAAAAAGAGATAGTAGTTTTGACCATATTTTTTTTCTCTGCGAGATGTATATTGACCATAAAATGGCGAAACATTTACCATACATTTGAACCATATAAGAAACTTGTATTCCCAGCAGGCAGATAGCTCCAGTTGAAATTTGAGCACTCTAGACATTTGGAAAGAATTAAGAAATAAAGTAATCAAATTTCAATAAATCGTTAAATGTTGTGAGAAAAGTCTTATTTCATAAAACATCTGAGGAGGCTATTTTCATGCCAATTTTTATTAAATTAAGAACAGTAAAAAAATGACTTTTTTTAAATATTTACCTGTAAAAGAATTTGATAAACGTAAACTGAATAAATGGTGTCTTTTATACTTAAGTATAGTAGTGGAAGCACAAATAAAAGGTTTTGACTGACATTATTTCTTTATTCAAAAGTTAATCTGGTCACATTTTAATGGAAAAACGTGTAATGCGTTGAACTGTATAGCTAATATTAGTTATTTTACAATATTTTAGTTTAAATAATAGAGAACATGTTTATAAATCAGATCTGAAACATTTTTAGTTACATTAATTTACACCACTACCATTGCAATTTTTTGTGTATTTAATTTTTTTTAATTCCATTTCATTTATAGTTTAAAAATAATTGTTATACGCCCACTCATAAAAGCGCGTTAACTGCATATACGTAAAATATTTCAAAAATAAAAATAACAACTGCAATTTATTTAAATTAGAAACATGATTTTAACAAGATTTTAATTTTATTTTGAGAAAATAAACTTTTAACGTACGTAGCAGCCTATTTAAAAATCTAAAAAACAACGCTAATTACTAATTTCTATAATAAATATTCTGAAGCCAAATTTTAATTCATAGATTTAAATTCATGCATAGGACAAAAGGAAGAAAAGTTAAATTATTTAAAAATCTTTATTGAAAGACATTTTGCTACAGCTAAAGACCTTTTCCAACATTCAATTCATACATATTTATGGTTATTTCCCCACTATTTTAAGAAAATTAAAATAAAATTCATTAATTTTATTTTTTAACCAATAATTACTTCCTTCTATACTCTTAGGATCAAACGATGAATTCTGACTCTTTAAATAATGAGGAAAATTTTTTTTATTCATTTTGAAAATTAATCATACTTACCTCAAAACTATTCGATAAGGCTTTAATTTATGTTTTATGTGAGTATAATGAGCAAAACGGCTGTGATTGTAAACTGGTAGATATATTTTAATTCTAATAATCAAAGCAACAATTCAAATTTGCTATCCGAAAAATAAAGAAAAAATAGCTTTGCTTATTTTTTTAATAATCATTACAATATCTTACATAGTTTGTATTTGTTTATTAAATATATGGTGTTAGTCAATTGCCGCCTTTCATATATACGTTTATAATCCTTGCTAAAAATGAACCAATACAATTATTCATATTAATTGTTAAAAATTAGTATTTAAGACAGGTAAAAAAAGGATTTTTTTAAATCAAAACGAGAATTTAATTAACAAGTTAGACGAGATTAGCAAATTTAAGGCCTGTATACAAGCGGAAACTAAAAAGTTGATGAATGTTTACGTCAGAATTTTCTCCATATTTTATCAGGTAATAAAACAGGTTATAATGCTCTAAACACCACCTTCATAAGTGATTCATCGTTTTTTAATAGCGAACTTTTTCTTTAGATGTAAATTTGCAAACCTTAATGTGAATACCTTATTTTATTTCATTTCTGACAAAGATACTCAAAATTATAATGCTGAAAATTGCTAAAACTCGATGTGTTTTTAAAGTAATTTATATTATGTGTTCGCATTTTTACAAAATCTCCTAACTGTTTACATGCTATTCAAAATATACGTTTTTAATATTATTAAACAAAAATCAAATATTAAATTAATTTGCATAACACTGCTTAACGAAGACGGGAACGGAGTTTTTGAACTTTAATTTCAATAGCTCTTGATCTTATGATTTCATGACTGATTATTTATTAAACTGTAATTTT